AACCCGTTTTTGCTTTAACAGATTATTCAAGTACAGGCAGAATAAAAGAGTTGGCAAAGACAAGACTATTCAAGAAAAACAATTGACCATGATGTCATGTTACATGAAGAAATAAACTCCTGCATTAATTTAACATTAATATAATTGGAAAGTTGCATGGATCATCCAATGCTTTGTTTACTTTGCAGGTTTTTCATTTTGAAAATATGAAAATATGCAAACATTATTAATAATGCAGCAAAAATTGAGTAAATTACAAAGGTAAAGAATAAAGTTGTTTAGAAAAAACATTCAAAAGTTGATTTCCTGTTTCTTTCTTCTATAAACTATGGAATATATTGCTGTGAATTTGGTAATCTCTTTTGTGTGAAATGGTATGGGCAAAGGGTGAAGTGATAATCCTCTGAATAGCAGAGAGAGAGTGAAAGACAAAATGCATTAGATAATTTTTTTTCTGATATATTGACCACTGTATCTAATATATGTGTGTACATATATTCTGGATGTGAAAATCTTATATTAGGATTCTAATATTTCTCACACCCCGGAGCCCTGCATCCCTAAACCTGTAGGTGGGGACCGGGGAGGTCAATTCCCCCCCCCCCCCCACTGTACAGGCAGAGCAAGTCTGAGACCACCTCATGAGACTGAATGTGTACAAGTCTATGGGATGGCGTGCATCCCAGGGTCCTGAAGGAGCTGGCTGAGGTGGTTGCCGAGCCGCTCTCCATCATATTTGAAAAGTTGTGGCTGTCAGGTGAGGTCCCAGATGACTGGAGGAAGGGTCACATCACTCCCATTTATAAGAAAGGGAGCAAGGAGGACCCCAGGAAAATTATTATTGAACTATCTTGATCATATTAAGCTATAGAATTGAATCAAATCCATCCAGAAATGCCTGCTCTCTGTTTGCAATCATGTAGTAGTCCCTATTTTTCTCAGTCCCTTCTTCTCCTTACACATCCTGCTCCTGGCAGGATTACCACAGTTAAAGACCACAAAACTACAGATTTACTTAAACTGCTTTTTCCAAAATGAGATGGGATAATACAAACCATTTAATGAGGAACTTCATTATATGTTCTACAGAAAGATTTCTCACTGGTCTTGCCAGAAAAAAAAAGAACCTTCCCCTCATTACTTGTGTCTTTCTGACTCAGCCAGGCTTTCATGTAAAAATAACACTAAGCTCACAAATTTGTGATGGAATGGCAGTTATATTTGGCACAGGTTTATTGCCTCTTGCTGGTTATTTTTGGAACCCACAAATCAGCTTTTAACATGAGTGGCAGAGTAGCAAAAACAGAAAAAAATGTTCATAGTTTGAATTTTTCTGAGGACACATGAAGTATTGGCAAGGGCTTAAAAGACAAATATTAAACAAGGAGCATGTATGTACACCAGTATATGTGTTTATACACTGGTATACATGTGCTACATCTCTGGGGCTTTCTTCAGTTTCTCAAGAATTCACTTGTGAAGAAGGGACAGATGCTGGTACAAAACAAACAAACAAACAGAGGTATTTCTTTTTCTGAAAAAGTCAAATCTTGTTTCATCTAAACATACACAGTAACTTTGCTTTTCCTTGTAAGATGCAGCAAAATTCAAAAGACAACAATACTTGTGTTAAGAAGTTCTTAACGTGATTCATCGACAAATCCTTCTCTTACATTTCATTCCTAAGATCTTTTCAGGATACTAGCAATCCAACTTCATTTCTTAGAGCTAGCCAATTTAGATTCTCATCCATTGTTAGTAGTTACTGTTAAGTTCCTAAAGTCACATTTTTCTCTTAATTGCAAACTGTCTGATCATAAGGCTTTCTGAGAATTTGCAAGTCTTAGTGACTTAGGTGGTATCTCTGGGTTCACAGCTTTTCTGATAAAACTAAGTTACTATTGTTTTGGCTCTTAATGATAGATTTGAGAACCTGAATAAAGACAAGGCTGTTATCTTAAACACGTAAAGTAATGTATGTGTTGTACATCATGCTGTTATTTTAACATCCAGAAAGGAAAGAAAAAAAAAGAAGAAGAAAGAAAAAGATTGGGAAAATGACTTCCTGGGCAATAAAATAATAACTGCTGTACCACGATCATTCTAGTTAGTTTGCAGGCATTTAAATGGAATACAAATTAAGATCTTGACTCAAACACTATCATGTCAAAAGACAAATCTCAGCAAAGAAATTTTCCATTGCTATTTTCTATTGTTGATATAAATCTGGATTATATTTTGTATGATATCTTGGGTAGCTGATGGATTATGAAAATCTGTGGAAAGAGTAAATGCTAACCTCTCACTCTTCTCCATTTGATTTCCAAGATTCTATCATTTAGATAATATTAAACTAAATTTAAAAAATCTCCTACTCTGATGTTGTAATAGCAGTGTTTTACTCTAACAGTTTCTTGTTAAAAACACTCCCAACTAGCCATACGCACAAATGATCTCCATCCTCACGCTGTTCCTATCCCTGAATTCCTTATTTTCAGTTTAACACAATCCAGCTCTTAGCTATTTGAAATATTTTCTGTCGTTCTCACCATCAGCTATTTAGACAAGACTGCTTATCAACTTTTCCTTCCTGATACAAATGCTTATCCTAATGGTAGTGAGTTTCCTCATCTACCATATCCCCACAGGTTGTGTTTACTTTTCCTGGTTGACAGGCATTTCAAAATGAAGCTGAGCATTGAACATAAAAGTGATGGATGTTTTTAATGTATCACAGGAAGAAGAGGTAGAAGGAAGACGTAGCAGGGAATAAAGAAGACCTGGGGAGTAAGAAAGTATAGTAAGGACAAGTAGAAGATTAATAGAATATAGAACAGTGGCTTGTCTACTACAGACCCTCTCAGCTGTTGCTGACAATGAACAAAAGCCACCAGCTTGTCATGTATTTGTGTACCTGCATATAAAATCTCTGGGCTCTTCTGCGTTCATGTTTGAAAGGATGCTGTTTGATTCCAGAAAGTAGTCATCCAGGCAAGAGATGGAAGTGACACAAGGAAGCACAGAAAAATTACAGTGAAGAGACATATTTTGTGGATAGAAAGGATGAAGAGGTAGCAAGATGTATCCAAGATTTTACAGGTTGAGTCAGTCAGAAAACCAAGTCAAAGCATACTTTCTTAGCTCTGCTCCTATGCCCTGAACAGAAAATATTTCACACCTCCCCTAGATTTTCCCCTCAATCATTTTTTTCCAATAAACAATTTTATTACTAGGAAACGTGCAGTAAGCAGAATTTTTTTGTTCAACTTTCAACCATTATCAGATACTGGCAAATTCTAATAAAAGCCTTGATAAGTCCTTGACATTTTCCACTCCTTTGACTTCTAGAAAGTTTTTCATCTACCATCAAACATCAATGTAGATGACAATCTATATTGGGTACATAACCAGGTACATAATCTATATCAAGTACATAATATTCATTTTTCAGAAATATTTCTTTGTGACTACTATTGTTTCTTTTGCAGAAAGAATCCGTGTGATGATGATGTTCTCTGTGACACACTGTGTAAAGAGACAGCGCTATGTAATTTAATTTCAATATATACTGACTTTATCAGGGGAGACGTTAATAGCAATGTTTATGTGGTAGCTTGAATCATAGAATCATAGAATCGCAAGGTTGGAAACGACCTGCAAGATCATCTAGTCCAACCATCCTCCCATTCCTATCAGTGCCACAAGCTACTAAACCATCTCTTGTAGCTCCTCATCCAGGCGCCTCTTGAACACTGCCAGGGATGGCGACTCCACCACATCCCTGGGCAGCCATTCCAGTGCCTGACCACCCTCTGAGAGAAAAAGTTTCTCCTAATGTCCAACCTAAACCTCCTCTGGTACAACTTCTGGCCATTTCCTCAGGTCCTACTATTTGCCTGGGAGAAGAGGCCAGACCATTTTTCATCACAACCTCCCTTCAGGAAGTTGTAAAGTGCAATGAGGTCTCCCCTGAGCCTCCTCCAGACTGAACAATCCCAGCTCCTTCAGCCGCTCCTCATAAGACTTGTGCTCCAGACCCCTCACCAGTTTCGTTGCCCTTCTCTGGACATATTCCAGGGCCTCAATGTCTTTCTTGTAGTGAGGGGCCCAAAACTGAACACAGTACTTGAGGTGCGACCTCACCGGTGCTGAGTACAGGGGGACGATTACCTCCCTGCTCCTGCTGGCCACACTATTTCTAATGCAGGCCAGGATGCCATTGGCCCTCTTGGCCACCTGGGCACACAGTTCTGGGGTTCTGGGGTAACATCAGGTCTCCCTTCGATGCCAGCATTGGAAAAAAATCTTGTCTTGGAGGATAAAAGAGATTATTCTCAGACTTGGTGCAAACATTAACACCACCTTCCTCCACTGAAACAACCTGTGTTGCTGTACAGACACTTTATAAAGATACAGCAGCCTGTTTAACCACATCAAATGTCAGTGTTGGCATTTAACTTGATTGTGTAGAACCCCAAAAGATTAGAGCTTGTTTTGTTCCATGGCAGGATTTCAGTGTACAGACATCTCAATTAAAATCCCTTCAATGCCAGAGTATTTAAACAAATTGCTGTGTAATTTCAAGTGATACAGTATGATGTAACTGAATTTAAAATAGGATGCCAAAAGCAGGGATATCCCAAAACCAGGAATGTAAATTCAATTTACTTACCTGGGGGGGAGAGGAGGGTCAAATAAATAAATAAATAAATAAATAAATAAATAAATAAATGCCTGGTTTCAGCTGTAGAAGTGATAATAGCACACAGATATTTGGTCATTGCTGAGTGATGGGAGTGCACCTGGGGCCAAGTGCAGGGCAGAGCTGTGACCATGATTTGGGGTGGAGCCAGGACAGGTGCCTGAATTAGGAGGGGGGATTATTCCGTACAATTTGACACCACACAGAATGTAATAAAATTGTGGGAGGCACTTAAAGGAAGTCTGCTGTATGAGGGGAATGCTATGTGATTTTCCAGAGACCTCTCCTGTTGCCAGCGGGTTGTTGTATTTGTGTTGCACACTGATTGGTAGGTGATGAATAGTTGCACTGTGGCTTTATGTTTTATTATTTGATTAAATTATTATATTAAATTATTACTTTAGTAAATATGTATTATTTATATTAAGAATTTTAATATGGATAGGTAAAAATAGGAAAAGACAGAACTTGTTTTAGCAAGGGTTTGAACTTGATGATCTCCAGTGGTCCATTTCTAACACCTACCACTCTGTGAGTCTTAAATAGAATATTCTGGAAACTCAGTTGATTTCCTAAGACTACCATTTTCTACTTGTGTTATTTAAAAAACAACAAGTGAACAAACAAAAAACTGTTGCCTTATTGTGGTTCAGAGCTGAAAGGAAGTGTAAAAAATGCACTTGTGTGGCACTAACAATGAAAGTCTGCATGATACAATTATACTGGAACTCTACTTTTGAAAGTTTTGATTCAAATGAAACACAGATTAATTCCTAAATTTCTTGTTCTTCTGGTTAGTTGTATTCTTGTACTACAGTGAATTGTGTCAGATACCTGCTGCTGCTGCACTGAGTTGACTTTTGATGAAGAGAGTGAAGTCAGAGATTTCCTAAGCATGCATTTACTAAGAATGAATTATGTCGAAGCAATTTGACTTCCTCTTTTGACAGGAAAGGTTGATGAGGAAGAAGCTGTAGTTGTACTTTGTATTGACTTCAATAAGGATTTTGTCATTGCTTATAGGTTTATCACAAGACAATTTGTAGCCTGTGTTTCATGAACTGTAAAACAGTTTGAAAACTTAATTTGAGCAGAAGTAGTGATTTTTTTAAAAAATTAAATAAAGTGCTGATTTCATGCAGTTTTGCAGTAGACCTAATTCTGACCCATATTTCCAGTTATGCTGTGTGATAGAGTAAATGGTCCATTTATGAAATGCATAGATGGCACTATAGGGGATGATGCAAATTCTGTAAGAGCTGGAGAGAAATTTAGAAATGTCACATATAACACGTGGATGGAAATTATTCTGCTCTATTTAGTGCTGACAAGGCTTCACATAACTAAACTTAAAGGAAGTATAGATGCAGGCAAATCCAAGGGAGGATAGCTGGACAAGAGGTTTAGTAATAGTGACATTTTAAAAAAGGTGAGCATATTTAAACATTTTTACAAATGGGAACATGCAAGAGGAAGATGTGATATCTTCCACTAGAGAAGATACTGTGCTAAAAAGGACAGTAAGTGTTCTTTGTGCTGTGCTTGTGGAGCAGGGAAACAAAATACTAGTTTAATTTATAGTAAGACAGATTTAGGGATATGTTGTAAAGACAAGGCAGTGAGAGGAGCAAGGTTCTGATGATGACTGTGGAGGTTTTTCACTGGAGTTTTTAAAGATAGGTTTGATATATACTAGGCTTTTTTTATACTTTCACTCCAACATTTGACTATTGAAAAACATTGCCTGTTTCTTCTTAAGACAGCCAAATTTGGATAACTGAAAAGGAAAAAAGATGGAGGAAATCAAAAGAGCAGATGTCTTTTTACCTGTTCTGGCTATAGAAGAGTGTTGGCTTTATCCCTCCACCTACTGCTGATCCTGTGGGGATATGATGCTAGACTGTGTCTTTTTCCTCACTTTGGTTTTTTTTACATGGTAGGGCTTCTGCTGCTTAGAACTGTACATTGCAATTGAACGTATAAGTTTATAGCTTTATTCCAGTTATCCAACACATACACATGGATTACCTAATTGCACTTTGTGAGCCTTTAGTATAATTTATGTCTGTTAGGTGTACTGATGAGTATATAAATGTACTTTGTTTCATGTAGATGTTCTTTCACTAAAGAAAGAAGAAATAGCTACTGGTGTTGGGTGTAGTATACGTGCAAGCATAAACTCTCACTGATTTTTCAATTGAACAATGACATTTTATAGCAGGGAGCACTTCAAGTCTCACACAGAATTGCACACTGCTGAAAACAGGGAGAGTACAAGAAAAAGGATGGCCACAGCACTGCCTTCTTTCCCTTGTTCTTTTGCTCTAGGAATCAGCTATTAACTATCGTTCCAGCAGCTCTTTCTCTGCTCTTAATGTGCTGAGGTTATTTCCTAACAAAACAGAATGTGCTCATGTCAGCAAGATGGGAAGAAAAGAAAATGTGGAGGAAAAATAAATGATTTCAAGTTAAGTAAAAAAGGGAGCTCTGGGTCAAAAGCTTGAAAGTACTGAAGTGAGCAACCCAGAGGGAAAGTGAACAGGCATCATCTGTAACTCCCTGCATTTTCCATGGTTGTTCAAGGATGTGCAAGGTGAGAGAGAAGAAATTGTCCCGTCTGTGATGTTTCCTCTCATATCAAGTGTCTGCTTCCTGGTGCTCAGCAAGGCTGCACTGATTGATGGAAAGATCCTGCAGTTTGTTGGAGAAAAAGAAGATTGCAGGGAGTGAGTAGAATTGGATGGGAAAGTCTTCTCATCTGTATGGAAAAACAAAATGATAAGAGAAGAATGGTAAAGCACTGGTGGATTTTGGCAGAAGTTGAAGGAATAAAACGAGCACTCCATGCTGCCCTATCAACTTGAAATTCTTATCTGCAAAAGGCAGGAGATGTATTGTGAAATCTGGGCATGGTAAATGCTCCAGACTACAGAGCAGTGCCCAAAGATTCAGAGCTTCTGCAGTGTTAGTGAAGGATAGTGCTGCAGGAGAGGGCAACTCAGGGCAGTGGTGACGTCTAGGAAAGCAGTGGTGTGAGAGATGATTTATTCCCCTTTCTCCTTCTCCCTTTCTTTGATCCAGTGCAAGGCAAGGAAAGGGCAGAGAAATCTGCAGGAATAGGATCTACATCCAGCGTGGTCCCCTCCCAAGCAGCAGGGCTTTTCTGCCATGCATGCTTAGGGCTGCAGTAAGTCTGCTGTTTATCTTTTCTAGTATTTAGAGCTGTAGTACACAGAGTAAGAAAACTGTTTCTATAATTCCTTATGATTTATTTTAAAATAACAATCAAGTTTGCACAACATAAAAAAAAATATACAGTACGTTGTACATTCATTAATACTTAGAAAAAAAAATCTGTTCTTGCTCTCCTGCCAACAGCAGCTGTGCACACTCCAGGCTTTGCTTATGTAACATCAAAAAACTCATTGTCCATGTACTGTGAATTGGAATCAATATCAGTATTTATTTACTAGTTTGAGACTCTTACTCTGAAGAATCAGCCAATGGTCCCAGCAGAGCAGTAGTCCCAGAAAGATTAAAAATGTATGCATATAGTAAAAAATAGTGCCCTACTCAGCCTGTGAATTGAGACGAGTACAAGGAACTTGAACAAGTGAGACTCCCTCAATGATATCGTGTATTCAAACACCTACTTGCACCACCAGGCAAGTGAAATGAGTTTCTGCATGATATTATTCCACTTCCTTAGAGCTATGAGATTTTAATTAGTAAAGGAAGAGAAAAATACCATGTAAAGTATCCTTGCACATCCCAAAATTTCTCAGAACCTGAGTGAAATTTTTTCCCTGCAAGAGATTACAGAAGTCCCTTGTACTGAAGAAGACATGCATCAGGATTATTCACTTCACAGATCTCTTCACTGTTGCAAGAACAGTCTGAGATACAAAAATTTTGATCCATTTTCTGGAAGAAAAACCAAGTTTCCTCTTCCAATGAGCAGACATCTTGTGTGATAGCTGTCTTTTTTAGTGGTCCTGGTCAGTGAGGCTAGAGCAAATAGAGAGTTTAGTTACTGTTAAGGTTTATCAGTTTATTTTCTGTTAGATAAAAAAAAAAAAAAAAAAAAAAAAAAAAAAAAAAATCCATCCAATGGGATGAAACACAGAGGCTGGTAGAGGAAGATGAGATAAGAAGATCCACTCTGATACCTGAGTCTGACATTAGTGATAAGGCATCTGTCCTAAGAAAAAGAACACTGTTACCTGAGCGGAACCTTGTTTTCATCCAAGTGCATACTAATATAAGCTTTACCTGGGAAAAAAAATTCACATATGTTGCTTTGGGATGTCTGAGTAACAAAGTAGAGGAACTGGAACATACACTTTCTTGTTCAAAACTCTACATTCCCTATGTATAGTCCTACACTCTACTATCTGCATTTCAACAGCTGTAAACTTCAGCTGTAGCATAATTATTCTATGCAAAAAATAACTGAGCACTCCTCAACATTTTAACTGTAAAATTTTTACTTTTATGGAAAATAACATTCTTTTTAAAAATCCATTCCTATGTAATTCTGTGATTTCTAGTTCCATTAGTATACAAAATTAATCCCATCCCCCATATAGTCCCAAGACTTGAAATACAAATGCATACATTTTGCATTTAGAAAGATGCATTTGCAGAAGATACTGTGCTAATATTAGTCTCTAATAACCTAGCCATCCTTCTTTTAATCTTGACTCACCCAGCCTGACTACTTGTATTCTATACAGGATGCTAAAGAATTACAGATCCATTTTGGGCAATAGCTGTTATGTGTTGAGCTTGATGTGAAATATAGGAGCAATAATGATGCTCCTTTACAGCTCCTAGCAGTGATTTCCAGCTCTCGAATCTCAAAGCATGCTCTAGCCTCATCCTTGTACTTTGTCCTCTATTAGGACAAGACAAGATTTGCAGTACCTTCCCTTCCACAAATCCTATTTGGTATATAAAGGAAATCAGGCCATGTGTTAAAGATGAGTACTTTGCAATGCTCCAGTTGGGAACTTGTCTGGGTAATTATAAAGAACTACACTGTTTAGAAGAATGCTGCTCTGCACACCAAAAAGTAAGACCATACCTATATTTGGACAAGTTACTTTAGGTTGCTTTTTAAAGTGCTAATCATGGTACTGTAGCAACCTTTAAACTTGATTGAGTTCACGATATGAGGGTAAATAAGAAAAGTGCATGAATTGCTGAATGAAATACTGCAACATTAGAATAAGAGGAGATGCAATGAATTAGTGAAATACACTGAATACTTATCTCTATTCAGTTTAGAAATAATGATTTGTATAAATGGAAAAGCCACCTGATAGT